TAAAAAAAATCCACGGCTTAAGTCCATCGATTATTCTACGAAAATCCATTAAAAAATCTCTGCTGAACCGCGAATGTTATGGCAGGTATTAAAAAAAATACACCACTTTTTCTAAGTCCACTTTAGTGTCATAACATACTTATAAAAATATTTAAAGTTTTTTTTGCATTACCTTTTCTTCCGGGCAATTAATTGTTAACTTCCGATGACAAATTGCTTCCTGGCAAATTCAAACACTACTAATTTTCGATAATTTCAAATACTTCATAATAATAATTTTGTTGAGCCATAGCCTATGGCGGAGGTTACCATAGCTACAATTTGTTTATTGACAAAACTCTGTACAATGACCTATATATTACCAAAGAAAAGAAAAAAAAACAAAATTACAAATAAACACGTAAACACAAAATTTCAATATTCATTATATGCTAATGAAGGATATATTGGAAAGCAAGATGATATAGATTTTTCGATGTTTACTAGGTCAGGATAGCTGATATAAATTCAAATATCTGATATCATAAATTAGGAATGTATTATTAGGCATATAGATAATAATATATTATTTTTTATAAGGATGGCACCTAGTAGCTTCGGAATTATGAAACAGAAAAAACATTTTTTTTTTATTTTTATTTAATTTTTTATTTTTATTTTTATTTAATTTTATTACAGTATAAACTTGATAATCCGGACCTCGACAATCCGGATTATTCGGTAATCCGGACTGCATTCCACAACCCATTGCGTATCCTATAATCCGGATTGATTGACCTATTTGACTCAAAAATCCGGATTGTAAGGATACGTTACTTTTTATTTTAATAAAAAAATCGTTGCAAATTTAATTGAAAATGGTACCTATTATATTCAAAGTTCATATTTTTGAAATGAATAATTTTTACTTTTAATAAAAACATAAAAATAATTAAATTATCACCAAATTAATATAAATTTAAACCAATTAATAAAACTCGATAATCCGGAAATCTCGGTAATCCGGATTGGGGTCTGCAATCAATTATCCGGATTAGCGAGTTTTTACTGTATTTTCTTTTATCAATTTTTAACATTAACCCAAAAACTCTGTTATTAACATAGCCTTTTTCTACTCCAACATCAATCATCAGCTGTTACCACATAACAGCTGTTATCTGTCAACAACGATTATCTTTGATTATTTCATTTGCTATCGATAACATTTAAATCGAAAAACAACTATTCCACAAAAATTCCATCCCCAATTATCAGTACAATAATAATATTTGCTAAAGTTGTTTTTGATTATCCTTATACAAATATTTGTGTGTGTGTGTGTGTGCGAGCAAGAATACAAATAAAATAAAGAATAACAAATTAAATAAATAATTAGTTAATTTTTACAAAATTTTATCAATAGCACAACGTTTTAGTTGTACTGCAAACGGATTTATATACCAGTGTGTATCTCTCCTTGGGAAATCCATTCATATCCTTGTATAAAAAATCGCGTTTATTTTTTATTGTAATCAAAAAAAAATTGAAGAAACCAGAACAGAGCAAAAAGGTGATTCATGGAATAAAATAGTTTTTGTTTTTGTTGTGAAAAAACAACAATTTTTTTATATTTCATTTCCTGCTAATGATTTTCAACCCCATATCACCTTATAAGGATGTCCATGTGTTTGTTGGTGTGTGTGTGTGTGATTGTTAGTTACTGCAAGGTTCATGGTAAACAAAAATCTGCGTTCGAATTGTATTGTCCATGTCCTGATTGATTGATAGATAGCAAAAATTGGGTCATTATACATATGTATGCAGGTGTAAGATAATTAGCCATTTAAAAGATAATTTGAATGGAGTGATATATATAGAATATGGATACAAAACAAATTGTTAATGCCAATTTGTTAATGCTATGTTTACATCATAGGTGTTTTAATAAAATCCTTAATATAAATTATCATTTATATTACAGAGATAATATCATTTTTTTTTAATTTATGTACTAAATCCAACTGATAAATCCTCTCAATATCACGAATAAAATACCGAAAATCGCAGGTACCGTCATAATGGGAACCATACCAAAACGTGAACCGATATTGATAATTTTGGGAAGGAAGATTTACCACCCACAAGATATTAAATAGCAGCCAATTCAGTAGACAGACTTGCCTAAAACCACCAAAATTTCGAATATTGGATCCCCACAATTCCGAATAATAATGGGTACCATTATATGGGGACTATACCAAAAAGTGAACCGATATTTATAATTTTTGATTAGAAGATTTGCTACCTAATTAGAAATCAAAATACCAAAATACATCCAATTCGGTTGAAAAACGTTTCCAAAATCATAAAAACATCGAAAATCGGAGGTACCATCATAATGGGGACCATACCAAAAAGTGAACCGATATTGATAACTTTTGGTTGGAAGATTTGCTATCTAATTATAACTCAAAATACCAAATAACAGACAATTCGGTTGAAAAACGTTCGCAAAGACATTAAAACAACGAAATTCGGGAGTACCAACATAATGGGGACCATACCAAAAAGTGAACCAATATTGATACTTTTGGTAGGAAGATTTACCACCCAAATGAGAACTCAAAATATTAAATTACAGCCAAATCTGTAGAAAGACTTGCCCAAAATCCCCAAAATTCCGCAAAAAGATGGTTATCATTATATGGGGACTATAGAGAAAACTGGACCAATATTGATAATTTTTGTTTGGAAAATTTTCTACCTAATTAGAACTCAAAATACCAAAATACATCCAATTCGATTAAACAACGTTTCCAAAATCATAAAAACTTCGAAAATCGGAGGTACCTTCATAATGGGAGCTATAACAAAAAGTCAACCGATATTGATAATTTTTGGTTGGAAGATTTTCCACCCAATGAGAACTCGAAATATTAAATTACACCCAATTCGGTGCCTAAAATCCCCAAAATTCCGCAAAATGATGGGTACCGTTATATGGGGACTATATCAAAACGTGAACCGTGTATTGATAATTTTTTAATATAAAGATTAAAACAACCAATAAGAACTCAAAATATCAAATTACAGCCAATGCGATTGTAAAACATGTCCAAGATCCACAAAATACCCAATTACAGTTATATGGAGGCTATGCCGAAACATGGGTCAATATTGATACTGGAGATTTCCCACACAACTAGAACTCCAAATACCAAATTACAGCTAATTCAGTTGTAAAACATGTCCAAAATACCGAATTTTGGGAGGTACCGTTATATGAGGGCTGCCCCGGAACCTGGGCCAATATGGCTAATTTTTGGCTTGAGTCCTTCGATTATTATACAAAAAATTACTAAAAAAATCTACGCCTTGAGTTCTTTGGTTATTCTACAAAAATTCGTTATAAAATCCACATCCTTCGATCATTCGCAAAAATTCACTAACAGAATCGCCTTGAGTCCTTCGATCATTCTACAAAAATTCACTAACAGAATCCGCGCCCTGAGTTCTTCGATCATTATACAAAAATTCATTAAAAATCCACGCCGTGAGACCTTTGATTATTCCACAAAAAAAAAAAAAAATCATTGAAACATCCTCTGAGTATTCTACAAAAATCCATTAAAAAATACAGGCCTTAAGTCCTCCGATTATTCTACAAAAAGGTGTTAAGAAATTCACGCATTGAGTCTTTCGAATATGTTACAAAAATTCAATAAAAAAATACATTATTCAATAAAAAATTCGTTAAAAATACCTGGCTAGGATTTTCAGAATATTCTACAAAAATCCATTAAAAAAATCTATTCTTTGAGTCTTTTAATTATTCTACAAGAAGTCATTAAAAAATCCACGCCTTGAGTCCTTCGATTATTCTTCAGAAAAATATTATAATCACTGCTTTGATTCCTTCGATTATTCGCTAAAATTAATTTAAAAAATCCTCGCCTTAAATCCTTCGTTTATTCTAAAAAAAATCATTAAGAAAGCCCTGCTTTGAGTCCTTCAATTATACTATAGAAATTCATTAAAAAAATTCACGCATTGAGTTCTACAACTATTCTTCCAAAAATCTACTCTTTTAATTCTCCGATTATTTTATAAAAATTCATTAAAAAATCCACGCTTTTAGTCCTTCAACGATTCTACAAAATGTTTATAAAAAATACATGTAGAAAGCCCTGCTTTGGATCTTCTGAATAGTCTACAAAAAATTATTAAAAAATCTACGCTTTAGTTCCTTTGATTATTCTACAAAACATCCACGATTTGAGTCCTTCGATTATTATACAGAAATGCAATAAAATTCCTGCCTTGAGTCAAAAATACAAAAAATACAAATTATTCAACAAAAATTCGTTGAAAAATACCTGCCTTGGATCTTCTAAATAGTCTACAAAAATGTATTAAAATATCAAAGGCTTCGATCTTCTGAATATTCAACAAAAATGCATTAAAAAATCCCAGCATTGGATCTAAACAAATATCAGCTGACTGACAACTTTTACTATAACATTAATACTAGTCTAAACGCCATGGATTTATTTCATCGATTTACAAATCGAATCGATTTAGAAGGCCTATAGACTATAGACACTTTGGGGAACTATTGTGAAAATCAAATGTAAAAGTACAATAAAGGATGAAACACAAACGAGGCTTCTGACCTGGTCTATGAGGTTGGCTTTGTATGAAATGTCAGAGTCAAACTTGATTTTGGATGCCTTTTTCCTCCTTTATTCTTTTACAATAAAATAAACCAACTTAACATGCTAATCCTAAAGTCCTCCTAAACGGCATATACATTAGAACTTTTTACAGGGTTAACCTACTTTATGAGGATTTATTTGACATATATACAAAGGAATTGACAATTGAAACCCACTGGGTTAACGAAATCCGGTTAAATGTAAACGTACTATTATGTGTTTTCCCCTTAATCTACTTTGTATTAAAAACTTTGGATGAATAACAAAAATGCAACTATGTGGGTTAGTGGCTTCTTCTGTTAATGCATGACGCTCATTGTGCCATGTGTCAATGTATGTTTATGTATACGTATACAAATATCAGCTGACTGTCAACTTTAATTTTTTTAAAGTAGTCTAAACAACTAGGATTTATTTTTTCGACTTACAAATCGTGTCAATTTAAGATTTCGCTCTATTTTATTAAATTTTCCTAATTTTTTTATGTTTTTAAATGTTTTATAATAAATCATAATAACACGTTAAATATTAATATGACCTCATTTTTTTCAATTTTAGTATAGTAATAAAAATTTTCTTTCAAAATTTCATTTCAGATCAAGATACACTTTATAGAAATGCTAATTAGAAAGTAATGTAACATTCCTGAGAGAAGAATTTCATGTGATAAAAAAAATGAGAAAAATGCTGAAAACGTAACAAATATCTTGGCAGAAAAAAAAATGTTCGAGGGCATCGATGATAATTAATATTAAACAATAATAAAAATGCAATAACACAATTGGAAATTAGTAGCTCAAAAAGAAAATAATGGTAAGTTCGAATAGAATTTGTATTAAAAAAATTAAATAACGATGTGTTTACACTGGACAAGGCTAAAAAATATGTACTGATCTGATTGATATTTCGAACTTAGAATTTCACTATTAGGCACAGATATTTAAAGCCAAGTTTCAGAAAATACTATATTATAATCAAAACCATGGCTATCAGTATATAAACGAGTTAACTTTGTATTTAACCCTTTTATAAAAGGGTGACAACGCATGATGAAAAATCGACAGCGAACGGTCTAAAATTCGCAACGTGTTTTTCCCCTCTGTGTACATTCTGCTAGCAAATAGTAAGAAAATTATTTAGTTTTTTGAAGCCGTATCGGGTTTACGAGGCAATTGAACCAAATTTTCTGTCCTTTCTAGAAATTTTTTTACGAATGCTCTAGCAGGCTAAAAATCTCTCGAGATCAACTTTGTAAATACATCTTCATGCACTAATATTTTAAATGAAGACCTACACTCTGAATATACTGATCGAAGCTTAAAGCATCGTAAAAAGTAACGTCCTTCAATTTTTGATTTAATATAATAATTTATATCATCAGCCGTAGTATCGAAACATGAATTAAAGGTTTTATTTCGTTCCCAAAATCCGATAGGGAATACCTTGAAATGTTTGTGCCATCGATGATGCAAAAAAAAGGTGATGTACCAAACCAAAAACCTTTTTTTTTGTCTCGACCATCTGTCAAATGTTTCCTTATAATATTTCACATGGTTGGCAACATTGCATATCGTATTCAAGTAGAAATTATGCACTTTGACAGTTAATCAAGACATCAGCTGCGCTAAATTGACTACCTATTTATTGTGCCATACATAACAAAGTATTTTTTTCCCCAGACTAAGACCTATAACGTACATATGCGATTTTAAAGCGATCCGATTAACGAAATCTAGAAATACACCCTAAATGTTTGCACATTTCTTTACTCATAATCTAAGTGCCAATCAGCTGATGTTTGTTAGTTATTTTTTTTTAATTTGCCTCCAAAATATTTGTTTGTGAATTGAAAATGATAACAATTGGAAGGTTCCTGCAACGTTTTCATAGTTTGGTAAAATATACGACATTTACATTAGAGCTTTGTACCGTGTTAACCTACATTAAGAGGATTTATTTGACATTTATAATTTGGAATTGACAATTTAAACCCACTGAGTCAACGAAATCTGGTACAATGTAAACGTGTTATTAGCCTTATTAGGAAAATAAATCCTGATTCGGCCATTAACTTGATCTGTGCTAGCGTGACCATATGGTCACACTCTTAAGACGATCAATAAATCATCTGGTGTGAACTACTGATAAACATACCACTGACATCAATGTCATTTGTGAATTGAAATTGATCCTGTCGATTATTCTGACAAGAAAAATGAATACGAATCAAATTTTTGGATTCAGTGACCCACAATCTAGAGACGCTGAATGTTTCGTCCCAAAATTCGAAAAAAAAATAATTACAGCACTATTCGGGTTAAGCATGATCAAATGCTTAATGTAAACCCGATTTTATATATCCTGTGTAAACTCGAGAGTATTGACAAATTAATTATTAAGTGGGAAACACATACGAGGATTCAGGCATGCCTTGTCATGTAGGCTTTGTATGATTTGCCAATTTATAAAGAAATATCAGAGTCAGACTTGTATTTGGACGCCGTTCTTCTTTATTCTTTTACAATAAAAGAAGCCAACCTGACATGCCAAGCCTGAAAGTCCTCTTAGGTATCTCCCACTTAACTGCTATTACTAATTGTAAATATTTTCACCTGCTTTTTTTTTCTTTACAGATGCACAAAAAATCCTTCTCCATTAAGATAACCTCAATTATTTTACTCTTTTGTAATGTCCTCTGGACAATACGTTTGTGTTTTGTCAGTCAACATTTGACAGATTTACAAACGTTGACAGCCCGCAATGCTTCACTGCTAAATGGCAGTCGACGTATGACACTAAACGCTAATCCCTATGGTGATAAAAAGCAGCTGCAACAACAACAACAACGACCAGCACAATCGGCATCATCATCACAGCTGATCGCAGAACAAGTAAAATCTTTAAATAGTTTAGAGTCATTTTCATTGGCATTTCAAAATCTATCTCTTAATCTAGGACGTTGGGATAATCAACGTTTATATAAGCTATTCGATTTTGCCCTGGTCGGTGATAACTATGAAGAATCGTCGGAACATAGTTTAATATGTTTAGCCACGCAGACATCCGTGGAACGTTTACACTCCTTAGCCGAAGTGGCAAAACAATTTCAAGGACCAATATCGATTGCCGTGTTTGTTGCCGGTAATGATGAATTTACCATTCTACAATATTATGTGACATATCTGCGACTTTGCTTCGACTTCGTACGCGCCAATGTCACTTTCCACCTGGCATATCCTCGTGAAAGGAAGCCGCAACATGAAACTGCCGATGCCTATAAATTACTGCAAATGTTCGATTGCCGTTATCCGTTGAAGACATTTCTGAAAATCGCCCAGCTGCGTACGAGCGAAACGAAACGATGGCGTCTTCGCAATCTCTATCCGCAGAATCATTTGCGTAACTTTGCTCGCAAAGGCTGTCAAACGAAATATGTCTTTCTCACCGATGTCGACATAATACCGAGTGCTAATATTGTACCATTACTGAATGAGTTTCTTGCCACAGCATCGGCCAGGTGTTCGACGGGGCTGTGCGCTTACGTCATACCGACACTAGAGATCGATGAGCGTGTACGTTTCCCATCGCACAAGAATGAACTGCTGCGTCTAATCAAAAGGGGTTTGGCAAGGCCTTTCCATGAAAAAGTTTTCATCTATAATCAGTTTGCTACGAATTTCTCAAGGTGTGAAGAAAAAAAATTCTTATATATATATATATATGTGTGTATACATATATTTAGAGCTAAAAATATTCGGTTATTTCGAAAATACATATGTGAATATGAATCAGCAGCATCATCAGCCTGCCCGTTGATTATTAATTTTCAGCACATTTTTTGTTCTTTTGTTCGATATTCTATTTTTTCTGTTTGGCATTTCTTAAGTTTTTCCCCGCCCCATTAAAATTTTTGTTGTCTATTTGAGGGTGTGTGTGTGTGCGCGCGCGGAGATCTTGTCTGCTTATTTGTTTATTTTCGTTGTGTATTTTTCCTTTACAGTTGGCTGGCCAATACCCAGACTGATGACCGTATCACGATTAGTCATCAGGTGACAAATTATGAATTCTTTTATGAACCCTTCTATGTTGCTTTGGATAATGCTCCCCCGCATGATGAACGCTTTGTGGGCTATGGATTTACGCGCAATTCACAGGTATGCTATGTGGAAAATTTTTGTGGAATATTTTTTATTTTAATCAAAGAAAATATTTCCATTAATTCTAAAAGAAATTGTTTAGACGATCATTTAGAGAAAATGAAGGAATGAAATGGATTGTAATAAATATCAATTTGTGTTTGGGCGCCATTTTCATTTATTCTTTCTTTTCTTTAAAAATGCCAACTTGTCATGTCATGGTCCTACGAGCCTTAACCCTAAGAGGTATAATGTTTACTCTATTAAATGTAAAAGCATAAATGAGAATGGCGCCCAAGCTTCCATATGAGGATTTATTTGACATATATGCAAAGGAATTGACAATTGAAACCCACTGGGTTAACGAAATCCGGTTAAATGTAAACGTATTATTATTTTAGTAGTCAAAGAAAAATATCATTTTTTTTTTTTTTTTTCAAAAAGACACTGAGCTCGATAAATTTACAAATACAAACAACTTCGGACATAAAGACATTGGAAAAACCCTCCAAAAGGGAATCAGAGAAATCACAGCAGGAAAAGGAAAATAATTTTACGCAAATATCTCGTCTGCCACAATCCGACACATACACTTTTAGAGTAGCGATTGACCTATTTTATGGTCGAAATAGTATTTCACCTGACCCAGAAAATCACTGGGCAAGCAAGGAAAATTATTGTTTGACTTAGCATGAAAAAGTCTCACTGATCGCTAGAACTCAAAATACAAACAACTCTGGACCAACAGAACAAAAGGCAACCAGAGAAATCACAGCAGGACACGGATATAAAAAATCGCAGAACAAGCAAGGGAAAGTATTAGTAACCTTCCACAAACCCACGATGGATTTGTCTTAGCATGGAAAAATCTCATTGATCGCTAGAACTTAAAATGAAAACAACTCTGGACAAACAGACACTCGAGAAAACCAAAATTGAATCAGAGAGGTCACAGAAGGGAATGGAAATGGGCTTTACGCCAATTTCTCGTCTGCCACGATCAGATATAGCGAATGACTTACTTTTAGGGATTTATTATCCGCCATTTACAAAAAGAGCAAAGTTAAAAAATTATTTCACCTGACCCGGAAAACCGCTGAAGAAGCAAGGGGAAGTGTTAGTAACGTTCCACTAACCAACGATGCATCTGACTTAGCATGGAAAAATCTCATTGAGCGCTAAAACTTAAAATACAAACAACTCTGGACCAACAGATACTCTAGAAAATCTAAATGGATCAGAGAGGTCACAGCAAGGAAAGGAAATGGATTTTACGATAATATCTTGTCTGACACCATGAAACACAGATATTTTTAAGGATGATATATCGAATGACCTACTTCTGGGGAATTGATTTCCGTCATTCAAATACAGAACTCAAAATTAAGCAAAGTCGAAAAAGTATTCCAGATGACCCAGAAAACCGCCAGAGAAGCTAGGGAAAGTATTAGTAAGGTTCCACTAACCAACGATGGATTTGACTTAGCAGCAGGGAAAGGACATGGATTTTACGCCAATATCTTGTCTGCCACCATGAGTCAAAGATATTTTAAAGGAGGATATAGCGAATGACCTACTTTTAGGGAATTGTTTTCCGCCATTTACTTAAAGATCTCAATATTAAGCAAAGGCGAACAAGTATTCCAGCTGACCCAGAAAATCGCAGGACAAGCAAGGGAAATTATTAGTAAGGTTCCACTTACCAACGATGGATTTGACTTAGCATGGAAAAATCTCATTGATTAGAGCTCAATATAAAAATAACTCTGGACCAACAGTTACTCTAGAAAATCTAAATGGAATCAGAGAGGTCACAGGAGAGAATGGAACAGAATTTTAAGCCAATACCTTGTCTGCCACCTTGAGACACAGATATTTTAAAGGAGGATATAGCGAATGACCTACTTTTAGGGAATTGTTTTCCTCCATTTACATAAAGAACTCAATATTAAGCAAAGGCGAAAAAGTATTCCAGCTGACCCAGAAAACTGATGGAGAAGCTAGGGAAATTATTAGTAACGTTCCACAAGCCAACGATGCATTTGACTTAGCATGAAAAATCTCATTGATCGCTAGAACTAATACCCAAATAACTCTGGACAAACAGACACTGGAAATAGAACCAAAAGGCAATCTGGCAGGTCACAGCAATTTATATTAGGTTGGACCACAACATGCCCAATAGAATGATATACACTTAAGCTTGTAAGTGGCCTGTTGTGCGCTCTATAGAAGGATGTAGGTTTGAAGAAGTATCCTTTAGATTTGGTTTCCCTAATCTTCTAGAAATTTTTCCCAGTCACACCCCCTTGGGTCAGTTTTTAATATTTGTTCTACTAAATTACCCCGAAATTCCTTTGAGGCGTTCGAGAATTCATTATCGGATTGCAAACTAATTCCTAAATGGGAAGAATTTAACTCTTTTCTAGCAAAACAATTCAAAAGTATGGAATCGCAATGCCTTTAGTGACTTATTCGGAACCTATCTTCATAACATTTTTCAAATATGAGTTTGGGCGCCATTTACTTTAATTTTTTAAAGTGACATGCCACTTATGTGCTTCCGCGTAAGGAAGGCACATAGGGGTTTATATGAGGCGTACATTTTTAAAAATATTTTTTTAGGCGTTTATATGAGGAGTAAATTAAAAAAAAAAATCCAGGGATATAGGGCGTGGACTTTTTAAATATTTTTTTGGGCGGTATTTTTAATAGTTTTTTTGGATTATTAATAAATTTTTTCCAGTGTTTTTATATAATTCCCAAGGTCCATATGAGGCGTGGATTTTTTCAATAAACTTTTCCAAGGTCGATATGAGGCACGATTTTTTTAATACTTTTTTCCAAGGTCCATATGAGGCGTGGATTTTTTAAATACAATTTTTCCAAGGTCCATATGAGGCGTGGATTTTTTAAATAAAATGTTTCCAAGGTCCATATGAGGCGTGGTTTTTTTAAATACATTTTTCCAAGGTCCATATGAGGCGTGGTTTTTTTAAATACATTTTTCCAAGGTCCATATGAGGCGTGTTTTTTTTAAATACATTTTTCCAAGGTCCATATGAGGCGTGGTTTTTTTAAATACATTTTTCCAAGGTCCATATGGTTTGTTTAAATAAAATTTTCTAAGGTTCATATGAGGTGTGGATTTTTATGAGGCGGGTATTTTTCAACTATTTTTTCGAGGTTAATATATGGCGTGGATTTTTTTTTATAATGTGTGTGAATACTTAAACAAATATCAGCTGACTTGCATCCTTATTTCAATACTAGTTTACACAGCTAAGATTTATTGTCATGATTTATAAGACGAGTTAATTTAAAATTCATAGTCTAAATGAGTCATGCAATTAATTACAAGAGTTTTTGGGCCTTAAATATATAACATATTCTCTGTATGTCATTTATAAATATATATTTTCTCTCTGTGAAATATATGAACAAATTGTCATTTAATATTTATTAATAATTTTTCCCTCCCCCTTTTCTCCTTCCCCTATTGTGTTCTTTTGCAGGTTTATGAAATGTATATAGCTGGCTATTCATTTCATGTCCTAACACCCGTCTTCACCTGTCATTGGGGACTGCAGAAAAAGAATGCACGACCGTCGTGGCGCGAACAGCAGAACACCATAAATAGTAAACGTTTTGAGATATTTAAAAAAGAGATATTTGCACGCTATAAACATCCGCCAATCAAGCAATTGTTCAAAACGAAAACATAAGGGACATGACTTCGACAACTCTCATTATTCAGCGAAAGAGAAATAAATTGAAAACCTCATGCTCTCAGGAAGAACAAGGATTTCTTTTCTGTTTTCGTTTTATTATTTTTCTCAAAAAATGCTACTCTGTAGAGAAGAACCCATGCCGCCGTTTTTAATTGTGTAAAAACGCCCACACATGGCCAATGACAAACATTCCTATAAATAAATTGTGTACCTTTATTTTGAAATGTAAATAGACTACAAGAAAAAAGAAGAAGAAAAGAAAAAAAACAAAACCAAAAAGATTAAAAAGAAATTGTATTCAAATTAAAAAAAGACAGCAACAACAACTGAAAATATTATTGTATAATTTTAAATGCTGCTGCTATAAAACAAAATAAACAAAAAACTGAAGAAAAAGAAGAAGAAGGAAAATAAATGTACAATTTTGTAAAATGATTAATTTTGTTGATGTTATTTAATTATTTTAATCTTAAGTGGGTGTGGGTGGATCCATCATATATGTATGTATGTGCATTTGAGGTGATATACTAAAATGGCTGATAGGCGGGAAGGTAAAGTACTTGTTTTATGAAAATTGTAGGTCTAGAGAAAATATTTGGTGGAAGTGTTAATTTTAAATGAAACGTTTTTAATTATTTTTTAAATTATTATAATTAATTATTATAAATAATAAAAAAATTATATTATTTTCGTCAATATTATTAAAAACAGCTGATTTATAATAATTATATTTAATATAACATTTAAAATTGTCCTATCTAAATGTAACGTATAATTAACAGCTGCTTCTTTTTAGAAGACCATGTAAATCATACGCCACCTTGTACTACTAAGCCACACTTAAAAATAAAGCATGGAAACTCGTATGAAATGTCAACATATAAAGGCATGTCAGAGTCAAACTTGATTTTGGACGCCGTTCTCTTTTATTTGTTTACAATAACAAACCAACATAATAGGCTAATCCTGAAGTCATGTCACAATAATTAGGTAGTGCATTAGCGCAGCTGATGCCTCGATTAACTGTCAAAGTGGGTAATTTCTAATTGAATTCGATGTGTAGTGTTGCCAACCATGTGAAATATTATAAGGAAAAAATTGACAGGTGATCGAGACAAGCGTCACCTTAATATTGCATCATGGCTGAAGTCCTCTTACGTGTTTCCCCCCTACGATATTAAATCGAACTTCTCAAATACGACCTAAAGGGGAAGACACATAGGAGGGTTTCAGGCATTGTATGTCAATGTCAATTTATAAATCAATATCAGAGTTTGAGTTTGGACGTCGTTCTCCTTTATTCTTTTACATTATACCATTCCAACTTAACATGCCATGCATGAAATCTTGCAGTCAGCTGATCTGTAATCCCAGTCAGTCGTTGTCTTTGTATGTAATGTCAATTTATAAAGGAATATAAGAGTCAATCTTGGTTTTGGACGCCGTTCTCATTTATTCTTTTACAATAAAAATTCAACTTAACAGGGCAATCCTGAAGTCCTCTTATGTGTTTCCCCTTTAACATTTACATATACGGTTTAAAATACACTTCATTAACGAAAAGCCAAATATACCCTAAAGAGGGAGACACATAAGAGGCTTTTAAGCATGTATCTTTAAGTTGCATTGTATGTCAATGTCAATTTATAAATGAATATCACAGTCAAGTTGGCGTTTGGAAGTCGCTCTCCTTTATTCTGCTATATTAAAGCCTTCCAACTTAACATGCCATGCATGAAATCTTGCGGTCAGCTGATCTCTAATCCCAGTCAGTCGATGTCTTCGTATGAAATGTCAATTTATAAAGGAATATCAGTGTCACTGATTTTGAACGCCGTTCTCCTTTATTATTTTACAATAAAAAAGCCAACATAACAGGCCAATCCTGAAGTCTTCTTACGTGTTTCCCCCTTAACATGTATATATATGATTTAAAATCGACTTCATTAACGAACTTCTCAAATATACCCTTAGGCTACGTTTAGACTACTAAATCCACTTGATTTCAAATGTCAATTCCATTGCGTATACGTCACGTTAATCCTTTTCACAAGTACAGTGGATTATATTTGACGTATAAGCAATGGAATTGACATTTGAGATCGAGTGGATGCATCTTTAAGTTGTGTTGTATGTCAACTTTTAAATGAATATCAAAGTCAAGTTTGAGGTTGGACGTCGTTCGCCTTTATTCTTTAGCATGAAACCATTCCCAGTCAGCTGACAATAGTCAGCTGACAATAGTTAATGTAGCCCTATACAGTGTACTAATCATTTTAACATAAAAACGATAAAAATTTATTTGAAATATTGAATTTTAGCTTAACATTACTCCTCACTTTTCAACTATTTCTAAAGAAAAAAATATTTTTTTCAGTCAAAACCATTGATGTATTTAATTGGTGATGTATCAAAACAAAAACATTTGTTTATGTCTCGATCTACAGTCAAATTATTCCTTATAATATTGCACATGGTTGACAACAATGCACATCGACAGTTAATCACTTCTTTGACAGTTAATCAAGACATCAGCTGCGCTAAATGAGCCATGGTTTAGACTTACGAAACCCACTCAATCTCAAATGTTAAATCCATAGCGTATACGTCATATATAATACGTCATAATAAACGTGGTCTAAACGTGCTCCAACTGTCAAAGAACATAGATTCTACTTGAATGTAAGAATATGAGAAATATTACTAAACAAAAATTTGACCGACGATCGAATATAAAACAGATGATTTTGTTTTTATACATGGTGTGGTTTAAATTTGTTTTTAAGCTATGTTTACATACAGGGTGTTAATTGTTATATTTATATATTCTACAGAAAAGTTGAGAAAAAATAAAATGTGTAAAGTTTTTCACTTTTTTTTTTTTGAAAGGAATTTTAGACTAGTTATTAAAGAATTGTAAAAGTTGTTCAGATTATTTCTTACATTTTTAAGTACCTATTGTACAAAGTCCACAGTTTCGTCATGGTAATGACAGCCACCATCAATCATCATTTTCGATGCTATTTTTAAAAATGTAAACTCTGACATATGTCTCATTTTGTGTCGCTTCATTTTTTGGTTCTTTTTGATAAATGATGTACATGTCATCTTAAGAGATTTTTGACAGAATGAGGACACAAACTGAAAATAGGTAATTTTTTTTAGTTCCGGCGATGAACTACCTTTATATTAGGGCCTTAAATATATTTTGAAAATGCGAACAAAGTAAGGTTATTTTTATTAAGTTGTAACATGTAATAATATGTTGTCGACTAGATCGCCTCTGCTAGTCAAGATATAACGATCGGTAGCTAAAAGAGTATGTAACGCTGCGAAATATTGGTTCTAATATTTTCCGACGTTACAAACTCTTGGAGCTTGCAACATAGTTGTGTAGGGTATACAAATATTACGATAGATTAGAAAACAACCTTTTTACAGCTTATTGAACTAATCAAGGTAGATATACAAGGTAGCCGCATCGGCGAATTTCTACAACAAACATCGGTTGTTGTATTTTGATATGTCAAAAATATTTTGCCAAAACAAACAGATTGACAAGATTTTTTTTACACAAATTCTTGTAGAAAATGTTAATAAAAGTATTGCCAAAAAAGCTCTTCGAAGTTCGGAGATTTTCATTTATAATTTTGTTTTTTAATTTTTTGGTTCAACACCAACAGCTGGGCCGATGCGGCTACCTTATTAAATATACCTTGGAACTAATAGAACAGCTGATGCTCTAAGCTTCAATTTAAGCTGTGTTTAGTTTGTTTATTAAGGGGTGAAGTATATAGGACACACATCAAATTGAAATGTTATTTTTATTATTTCATTTTTTAATAATAATCAATATTGAAAATGTTTTATGTAGAGAAAAGGTTTATTGAAATAAAAAATATATTTTGTCAAAAAATTAAAACTACTTTATGTTGATCAATAATTATTAAATTACAAACTCTTGGGGCCACACAATGATATAATATACTGACAACATAGTTGTGTTATGTTTTAGATATAACATAAATTGCGTTTAGACTTCCGAATCCACTCGATCTCAAATTTCAATTACATAGCGTATACTTCAAATATAATCCACTGGTTTTGCAAAACAGGATTTTTTTAAGTCTAAAAGCGCTCAGTTTATTGCACGCATATAACAGCTGATACATGAAGCTTCAAATGAAGCTGTGTTTAGTAATTTATTATAACCTCTTATAACAGAATATTTTATTTTAATAAACCTCTTCTCTAGATAATTAATTTCGAATAGTTTTTTTTATTATTAAAAATATGCTAATGAAAATGTATATTATAAAAATATTCTAAATTTTATATCTAGAGAAGAGTTTTATTAAAATAAAAATAAAAAATATATTCAAAATATTTTTTGTTAAGAAAAATTGAAATAATTATTAAATGCTTAAAAATTATTAAATGACAAACTCTTGGGGCCACACAAAGCTATAATAACCTGACAACATGGTTGTGTAGGGTATAAAATATATATATTACGTTTTGCATAAAACATAAAGTGTGTTTATATTTACAAAATCCCCACGATCTCAAATGTCAATTTCATTGCGGGTAGGTCAAATATAATGTACTGGATTTTTGAACAAAATTAATGTGACATATATGATATGGAATTGACATTTGCGATAGATTAAAATGCAACAAAATTGTTTTAAACTTATTGCACTAATAGAACAGCTGATGCATGTAGCTTTAAATGAAGCTGTGTTTAGTAGTTTTATTAAGGGTTGAAGACTATTTTATTTTAATTATTAAATAATCAATAATTATTAAATTAAAAGATATTGGGAACACACAAATCTACAATATCCTGACAACATAGTTATGTAATATTAAAATGCAACAAATTTTTTCAGCTTATTGCACTCATTGAGCAGCTGATGCATGAAGCTTGAAATTAAGCTATGTTTAGTAGTTTATTAAGGGTCGAAGTCTATAGGCCACACATCAAGTTATAAACCCTATATAACTGATTATCTGTTATTTTCATTATTTTATATTTGTAATAAAAAAAATATATGAAAATTTATATCCAATTACAAAAAAATTTGGTCAAAATATTTTTTGTTGAAAAAATGAAATAAATATTAAATGATCAATAAAGCTAAAATATCTTGACAACATAGTTGTGTAATATTAAAATGCAATAGAACAGCGGATGCATGAAGCTTCAAATTAAGCTGTGTTTAGCAATTTCTGAAGGCCTGAAGTCTATAGGTCACACATCAAATTTAAATGCTATAAAGGTTATCTGTAATTTTCGTTAATTTTTTTAATGATATCTAAAGAAGAGGTTTAATAAAATTTCAACACATATGTTTGTGTTTATTAATAATTATTAAATTATAAAATAATTAAAAAAATATATATAAACAATGATAATTCTTAAAAAAAAACATTATTTTTTTCTTTTAATTTTTTGGCATCATTTTTTTGTTAATTTTTTTTTCTAATTTAATTATGGCCATTTGATACTGTGTTATGTGTGTACGTGATGATGCCTTCTGAGTCATTTTGTGTGTTGCTGTTTTTTGTTCGACTCTTAATATTATTGGCATTGATATCATTTCAATAATTTTAATATAGTTATGAATAATTGACTAGAAAATAGAAAATTTCACACACACACAACATGTGTGTGAGTGTATGCGTTTAAAGAAAGTGCAACAAAAACAATTGATAGAAGAAAAAATAAAATATCCAATCATTCTAACTCATTCAACACTCAAATGCGTATCGAAAAAAAATTGTTTTTTTTGTTGGTTGTTAGATATTTATCTATGCTTAACATGTATTTGTTATTAATGTACATATGTATGTATATATGTGTATTTGTGTGCATTATAGATTTTTATAGTTATTTTTGAATTTCTATATTTCTATGTTTTTTGTTTTTTTTTTGTTTTTTTCTTCATCTTGTTTTATTATGATTTTTTTTTTGTTCAAAGTTTTTGTTTTTCAGGTTGTGTATATGTTTTGTTTTTTGTTTTTTTTTTTCAAAACTACAACAAACACCATGAGTGTGTAATTTTAAAAATAGATTTTGTTATTTTTAACCTCAAAAAAAAAAAAAAAATGAAGAAAACACTATAACAAAAAAAGAAGGAACAGCGAGAAGCAACAATAACAAATTAGAGAATTCTCAAAAAAAAGAAAAAATCGAAATGAAACAAACTGTAACGAAAACAAAAATTGCTTAGAAACAACAAATAAATAAATAAAACAAAGAGCAACAATTTTGAAATTCTTCCGCATGATACAATATTTTGTTGTCTTTACATATTACATGGCTGGCAACAACCACTAGCAAGCAGGCAGCACGAAAAAAAAAAACTAGAAAAGAGCCTCCCACCTCTGAGAGGTACTTTGCTCCCGAATTCCTTGTTTTTCTTAAGGTGTTGTAATATTTGTTTTTTTTTTTTGGCTAGGAAAAATTTATGATAATGATGGAGGCAATGGCCAGATTTTTCCTCTATATATATTTGACACATATATATCTAAAAAATATATACACCAAATAGTTCTCTACACACACTTGGTATATCCATAAAACTCTCTAACATTTGTGTGTGTGTGCGTTCTGCTCATTTCATCTCTTTTCAGCTGAGCAAATGATCAATTTTTGTGTTGGTGTTAAATCAAAATAAAAAAGAAATCCTCAATATCTCCCAGCCAACGCCACCTCCCCCTGACCATCCCCACCCCCTCCCCACAACAATTTCTGTGTGTGTGCATTTGCCACCCCAGCACCAAAATGTACGAAATTTCAATAGAAAAGAGAGTGAGAGAGGAGATCACACATCTCTGCATCTCTATCTTCTTCGCGATACAGCGAATATGTGTTGTGCCGTGTGCAGTATGAAATAAAGACTACCTGCGTTGAGCATCAGTGAAGTTCATTTTAAATCGGTATTTTTCACGTAGTGGTACACCTAAGCGCGGTAAAGTGAATATTTTTTCTACAACTTTTTAAAATAATACCAAAAAAAATAAAATAAAATTTTGCTTAGCATATATATACAATTTGCTTTTTTGTAAAACGCATTCCTTAAATATTTTCATTTGAAAAGAAAAGTATTGAAAAAATATTAAAAAAAGTGTTTTGTAAAATAAAAAGGATTTTTTTGTTTGAAATACCTGCCAAGCTAAAGCTGTTTTAACTTAATTTTAATTAATTTACTGCCAGAAAAATAATTTGAAATATTCCAATTTCCAATTAGATTTAAATAAAAAACAACAAACATGCCTTTCGTTCCTGTTGAAACTCCCAAGTGCCCCAAGTGCGGCAAATCTGTCTACGCTGCTGAAGAACGCGTTGCTGGAGGTTACAAATTCCACAAGACCTGCTTCAAGTGCGGTAAGTATCACCACACAACGTTTAAGGCGTGCTTAAGTTTCTGCCATAAGCTGTGTTCAGTTGGTCTTTGTGACATTCAGGGTGTTAGTGATATTAAATGGCCCAGCCACATGTCAATTTTTTGCCTTATTTTCAATTTTTTATGTGAAATGAATGAAGTTATGTGAATTTTAGTGTGAAATTTTTAAATCTAATGGCCTGGTCATATACTAAGTTCAGTTTCAAGAACTTTTTTTAATGTTTGATAGAAAATGTGGTTGATATGAGTGAAATACGTAAGAAGTAGCCTTTTTTAATTTACATCGTCTTGGTGTAAATATAAAAATTATAAATCGAATGGCCTGGTCATTTGTTAAGTTCAGTTTCGAACACTTCTTTTAATGTTTGATAGAAAAAATGTGGTTGAAAAAAATGGTGCACATAAGAAGTTGTCTTTTAAATTAGCTCTTCTTGATGTAAAAGAAAAACAGGGCATTTTACTCTGATAGCTCTTCATATTGGTAACCAAATCAACATATTATTCTATTTTGATCGAAGCTGTTCTAATAAAACAAATTATTTACACTGTAAATTTTTTATGTAGTACAAATGTAAACCACATAATTTATGAGACAGTGTGAAGGCTGTTAAAACTATTCTTAAATTATAATTTGATCGAAGCTGTTCTAATAAAGCACATTATTTAGACTGTCAATTTTTTATGTAGTACAAATGTAAACCCCATAATTTATGAGACAGTTTGAGGGCTGTTAAAACTATTTTTTTTATCATTTTATTGAATTTTTGTGGAAGTTTATGAAAAAAGTAAAAATATTTTTTTACATTTACATGGCGACATGTCAAATTATTCCAGCTGTAACAAGAACTGATTTCCATGTAGCTCTTGGGATTTTATGTTTTTATGTTATTATTTTTATGGAAGTGGGAAAAGGGAACTCTTTATGTTCTGTTCCTCTAGTCGCATGGCAACATGCTAAATTATAAGGATTTATGCCTATTTTCAAAGGAAATTTTATTGGACCTTTAATTAGATCACAAATATAACTGGGTATATGTCTATTCTAGCTAAATTTGGGTTAAGCAAACATATATTTGAAAAAAAAAAGAATTATGATATTCTGACTGGACACGATTTTTCTTCATTGTACTTTTAGATACGTTGATGTGTAAACATAACATCAATTTAAAAAAATTAAAATTATTTTAAAGCCAAAAGTAATTTTCAAAGCCCTTAAAAGATTTAAATATTCGAAAAACTCAACTTGAAAGCCATACTTTCTACAAAGTAATGCCAACTTGTCATGTGGCCAGGCCTCTAACTAAGTACACAACCCAGCGCCAGTTTAAAAAATTGCAAAAATTCAACTTGAAACCCATATCTCCAAGACAAATCACCAGTGCTAATATAAGCAGAGGTTAAAAGGTTTAAAAGTTATACAAAAAATATTAAAAAAATGGAAAAAATCAACTTGAAACCCTTATCGCATGGAAATCATGTGGCTAGGCCACTAATTTTGAACAGAACCCCTGTTCCAGTCTAAATAGACCTTATCAGATTTAAAAAGTGAATAAATTCAACTTGAAACTCATATTCCCTAGAAATTAAGAGAAAAAAAATTGTCATGTGGCCAGGCCACTAATAAACAAATTCATCTAATTCCAGTCTAAACAGACCTTAAACGGATTAAAAGTTGCGAAAAAGTTTTAAAAATTTGCAAAAAATCAACTTGAAGCCAATATTTTCTAGAAATTAAGAAAAAATTGTCATGTGGCCAGGCCACTAATAAACAAAATCACACCTCCCAATCTAAACAGACCATAAAAGCTTTAAAAGTTACGAAAAAAGGTTTAAGAATCACATAAAATCAACTTGAAACCCATATCACCTAGAAATTAACAAAAATTGTCATGTGGCCAGGCCACTGATATAAATTTCATCCTATTCCAGTCTAAACAGACTTTAAATGGATTAAAAGTTACAAAAAATTTGCAAAAATTCAACTTGAAGCCCATATTTCCTAGAAATAAAGAAAAAATTGTCATGTGGCCAGGCCACTATTAAGCATAATTACACCTCCCAATCTAAACAGACCATAAAAGCTTTAAAAGTTACGAAAAAAGATTTAAGAATCACAAAAAAATCAACTTGAAACCCATATTTCCTAAAAATTAAGGAAAACTGACATGTGGCCAGGCCACTAATAAAGAATTTCAGTTACAAAAAGTTACAAAAAAAAACTCAATTCAACCCACCTTTTCCCTTCAAAGTATACCTACTAGACATGTGGCCAGGCCACTTATATGCAACAAAACCCAGTGCTAACTGAACATGGCTTTTCATGGAAAGGAAATATTAAGGCTTGGCCCGTTATGTTGGCTTTGTATGAATGTCAATTTATAAAGGAATATCAGAGTCAAACTCGATTTTGGACGCCGTTCTCCTTTATGCTTTCACAATAAAATAAGCCAATTTAACATGCCAAGCCTGAATGAAGTCCACTTAATTTAAATGCTTCTTTTTTTGGAATTATTTAATACTAAATACACATTTCACCCCTTTTACAGGCATGTGCAACAAAGCCCTTGACTCCACAAACTGCACAGAACACGAAAAGGAATTGTACTGCAAGAACTGCCATGCCCGCAAATACGGACCTAAGGGTTACGGTTTCGGTGGTGGTGCTGGCTGCCTTTCCATGGACACTGGTGCCCATTTGAACAGAGAGTAAGTAAACGATTGTTATTGTTATTATTATTTTGTTTTTTTAGTAGTATTTGAGTAGTTTCAAGCCAAAACTCCTCAAAATCCAAGAAAAAAAAAACTTAGACATTTTATTCAGTCAAAAAACCAAAAATCTTTCTGTTTTTATTTATTTTTTATTTAAAACAACTTTTATTAAAGACCAGAAAAAAATGTTGTACACTTACTAGCCTACATATACATACATACTTTATGCACACATATTTATATATATACATGTATAGATACATACATAATAACAAAAAAAAAAAAAAGAAATAATAAAAAAAAATTAAGATTCTTAGAGAAGAAAATTTCAAAACATACAACACAACAATCTATATAGAAAAAACACATAATTTTGAAATGAAAAAAAATACCTTAACTTTCCCTTTTATTTTATTAAAAAAAAAAGGATTTTAATAACAATTCCTTCCTTTATTCCTTGAAAAGTGTATGTATGTAATGATATTAATGAGTTTTGGAGATTGCCAAGAGCAATTATAAAAATAAGAGAGAGAGAGAGAACACGAGAGAAAGAGAAGAATATCAACACTAGAGTAAAATCCAAATTATAGACACCAAAAAAAAAAAAAAAACTTTAATATCAAATCAATCAATACTATGTATATATATATATATCATGTATATGTATATATTAGTGTGATAGAGAGAGTGTGTGTGTGAGAGCTCCACCTATAATACAATATTCCAAGAAAAAAAAAATAATTATTCTCAAAAAAAAAAATTAACCATCCACCCACTTTGAAAAAAAAATTATAAAAAAATTAGACATTTCACTTTAACATACATATACTAGTGTAATTTAACGCACACACACTCACATACATACCACACTCAAATATACATATTAATGACCAAAAAAAAAAAAAACAAATTGTACAGTTCAAAAAAAATTGTTTTTTAAATATATATTTAAATTAACACACAACTATAACACCCGAAATACACACATACTCACTCACACACACACACACATTTTCAAAACAGCGGCAAGTTGTTATGTATGTATATAATTGTGTCACCGTTTATTTTTAATTACATTTTCTGATATCTTTTATTTTTGTTTTGTTGGTTGGTTTTATTTTCTCTCAAATTCTCTTCTTCAAAAAAAAAAAAAAAAATTGAAAAAATACTGAAATACTGAAAACGAAAAAGAAAACATATACACACTTTTTTCATTTTATATAAACAACAAAAATATATATATTTATCTTAAGAAAAAAAATTTGAAAAAAAATATTGAAAAAAATTTTTACGGATTTTTTTTTATTGAAAAAAAAATATTTAGGAATTTTTTTTATTGAAAAAAAAATATTTTTTTATTAAAAAAAATATATATTTATTTTTTTAAATGAAAAAAAATATTTACGATTTTTTTTTCATTGAAAAAAAAAATATTTGTTTCCATATTATATATGTATGTATTATGTATGTATATTGTTTGCTAAAATAGTGTATCCTTTTTTTCTTTGAATTGTATTGTCCTCTTTTGTTGTTATTTTTATTATTATTATTATTTTTTTTTTTTTTTTGTTTTGTTTTTGTTATTATTATTATTTTTTTTTTTTTGTTATCTCTTATATCTATCCACATTACAAGTTAAAAAAAAAACAAAACAATCCAAAAAAAAAAGAAAACCAAAACACATACTAAGTTGTTAATTTCGTTATTTCGTATTATCACAGCAACTAAATTACTTACTGGCGAACGAATTCTAGACGCACCTACCCCAATAAATGGAATTCAGGATTCGATCTGTTTGAGTTTCAATGTTATGTTTCCGTTTAAGTCCAATTTGTTGTTAACTACCACCTATATATACTACTCTGCTCTACTGTACTACTACTAAAGCACCTAGCACCTACCACCTACTATATATATATATACCAACGTGTATTGTTCCCCAACAAAAAAAAAATAAAAAAACAACAACAAGAAACAAAACAGAAAACAAAATGAAATTTATTACCAACATCTATCAATCAGATCAGATCAGTAGTTGACATAACCAACCAACCAATCAACCAAAAAAACAACCAACCAACCACCACCAGTCAAGTCCATCCAACAATGTGGTATTCTAATTATAAATTTTTTTGTTTGTAAACATTAAAAAAACATCAACAACAATTGTACAATGTATTTTTGTTCTTAATTCCTAATTATTGTAATTGTAATATGTTGCGTCTACATAAAAAACCAATTCTAATTATTATGTTTTTTATATATAAATACTGAACTTTTTACATACATACATATATATATTTTTGTTATAAAATGAAAAGAAAATTTTTTGTCAAATAAATATAATAGAAATTCTATTTCAAACAACAACATGAAAAGAAAAAAACACACACACAAAAAACAAGCAACTTTTTATTCCTTTATAAAAAAAACTGAACCATTTGAAAAACCATCAAAATGTAAAACAAAGATAAACGGTGAGAAAATTACAGAAAAAAATCAACAACAACAACAAAACTAAAAAAAAAATAAATTCTACTAAAACCAACTAAACATTAAATGAATCGCATGGCTTGGCCAATTGTAAAAAAAACGTAAATAAAACCAAAACACATATCATTACATTCATGCATACATAATCAACACTTAATACATTTTCTACTTTTAGTTCTGCATAAAAAATTACACTAATTTACAATAAATCCTTTTTTATTTATATTAACATAATGGACATAGCATTAAAACACACACTGAACATACCTCAATCACTGAACATACTCTCAATCATAACCATAATTGACAAAAAAAAAACAACAACAACGGGATATTTTATCTCACACACACACATCTTCAAATTGAAAGTGTGACCTGGCCGCTTCAGTCAGTCAGTGTCAATAAATCATTCTATGCATATGTGAGTCACCCAGTAACACATTTTTTTATTTTTGCTTAAACGCCCTATATTGCGTCGACTATATTATATCACATTTACATGGAATGTGTAATAGATATACAATGGGAAAGTGAGCCTATAAATAAGGACATTCAGGAAGAACAGCTGGTAATCAGCAGCTTCTCAAGTTTGCTAACAAAATCCATTATTGTGAATTAACTTCCATTATAAAAACGTAAACAAAGTCCAATTAGATTTGAGAAAAAAAAAACAGCTGACTTTCGCTAGCCGGGTGTCCTTATTAATAGATCTTGGTATTACGCATTTGACATATGATGAAGGGCAATGACAATCTAAATGACGGGTGGTTTTAAAACAAATGTAATCTATCAATAACATTAAGGTGGAGGACACATAGGAGGATTTCAGGTCTGAAATCTTCTTATGAATCTCTACCTTAAAAAGGGAGAAATATGAAAGGCATGACATGTTCAGTTGATATTGTTTAGGATAAAGGAGAATGACGCCGAACTTATATCTGACTCTAATATTCCTTAAAAAATTGAAAATTTAATACAATGCAAATTAAGGAGGCAAGTCTGGAATCCGCGTCAATGCTTTGAAATATATTTAACTTTATATTACTAAGCACATGAAGTTCCAGCATCGATGCTTTCCTGGCTGTTGAACTATTGATAACACATAAAGTGACGCGTGACGCAGCGGATACATTATGTTTGACCTTAAAAGTGCGTTACAACAGAAAGTAAATATATTTAAACCTTTTTTACCCCTTAACGGGACATGAAGAAAACGTGTAACGTAACGCCCTTTCCGAGGAATGGGAAGAAATATTTGTACACCATAACTTGATACCAGAATCTGCGAGCGTATTTTAAATCAAGATGACCTTCTATTTGAATATATATATATATACTAGACGACATTTGTTTTAATAGACTTCTGTAGTTCCGACGTTGAAAGACGAAATATCAAATTGATGGGTACAGGAAGAGACAGCATACGATTCGATTTAATACAACTGGAAGGTTTTTTAGATTTATATCAAGAAATGGTACCTATATAATGGTCCGAAGAAATTTTGAACAGTGTAGCATATGGCGCCCAAAGCGGGGTCATTTCATAAGTTTTCAATTTTATGGAGGTGATTATATTTGGGTGGGCTATGTGTGAGAAGAAATTCCACTTAGTGTGAATCATATCAATATGGCGCCCAAAGCGACGTTCTTTCTAAATTATGAATTTATATGTTTTTAAAAAATGTTAACGGCTTTGAGTTTGTTTAGATATTATAAACACATTTCTCTTGCGAACGTCCGTGACACCGAGTAAACATGACGTCCTCCACAAAAGTGTAAATTTGGGGGGGATTATATGAATATGGCGCTCAATGCGAAGTCCTCCACATGAGCTAGCTAACTATTAGTGGCGCCCAATGTGTGATTCATTCAATATTATGAAATTCTATTCAAGGCGTCTTACTTGGGTGGGCTTAATATGAGTTGAGATTTCACTAAGTGTGGATCATAACAATATGGCGCCCAATGTGGTTTCCTTTCTATAATATAAAATTCTATTCATAAGATTATACTTTTGCGGATTAGGGTGGATCATTTTTAGATATTATCTCTACCAAGTTCTCTTGCGAACGGCCCTGACACCGAATAAGTTGGACGTTCTCCCCAAAAGTGTCGATTTTGGTGGATCATATCAATATGGCGCTCAATGAGAGGACATTTTTAAATTATGAAATTTGTTGCGAAAGGTTAAACTTAGCCGGGTTAAATGTGATTGGAGATTTTACTTAGTGAGAATTATTACAATATGGCGCCCAAAGCGAGATCCTTTCAAAATAATGAAATTTAATGCAAAAGGTCAAATTTTGGCGGGCTAATGGCGATTGGAGATTCCACTAAGATTAAACGAAACGTAATGTAAAGGTTGATACTTGGGTGGGCTAAGTGTAAGTGGAGATTTTATTTAATGAGAGTGCAGATTCTATCGATGTATTTCGAAATTATTGAAGGTTTTTTGACGCCTATTAAGCTCGACCTCCTCCACCAAATTGTCAATTTAACTAGAT